AGAACCTTGAACTGAGTTTAATTAACTCACATGCATCCAAGCAATGAAGTACTCCAGCCCCCATCAGATGATTGGCCCATACAGGTGGTAGTTCTGAATTGAACTGTAATTAATGAAAGAGCTGAACAACCACATCAAATGAAATGCTCACTACTAGAAAAAGCATTTTTCCCGATGTGGGGTCCTTTTTTCGCAGGCAGATATGACCCTTGGAGCCAAATGACCACCTATAAAAATATAAATCGGGGTGAAGTTCGTTGTCCGCCTGCGAAAATCTATTTTCACAGGCGGACCACTTAAGCGGCGTGATTTTCACAGGCGAACCTTATGTGGTCCGCCTTATCTCAACCTTTTATCTTATTTGCACATCATGGGTGTGTTGAGAAAGGTGGTAGGCAAGTGCTGTAGTCAATAGTAAGGTAGAGTTGAATAATGGCATCAATCAAAGTCTAGTTCTTTTATGTATGAAGGAGCATGAAATTGTTTGTCTAGGCAGAGAGACAAAGATGAACAACTCTCCATGATCAAGTTGCTCCAACCAGCCGCTGTCGCTCTTCGGCCAAGGAGGCATCAGGATTTGCCATTTGATGTGTCGTTGGTCATCACCGGAGAGAGATGCATGTGGCACAATAGCAATCCTCTGTGGCTGGAGCGACCATCTAGGGGCTCATTCTCGTTGCTGCAGTCTCGTAGGATCATATTAGAAAGATTTGCCTACAAACGTTGTACCTTCTTTTTAGTGATTATGTTTGGAAATGATCTCCCATCTCTGATCTCACTACCATGCATGAACTTGCACCTTTATCAGTTCAGTACATTTTCTCTTTCAAGCTTCGACACAAATAGCTCAGGATCAATTATTTGATAAATTTTTGTATTGTGGTGTCATCGATGACACATTGAACCACATTTAGATTTCTGTTGCTTTGGGCACGTCGAAATTTTGGAAATATTCAGCACAATGAAATTATTGCACGCGGTGATTCCATTCGAAAGGAACCCTGACAAACACAGAAACAGGCACACATCTAGATATGAATGATCACATTTTTCTTGGTTTTACGGACTACAGAGAATAACAAGAAGAAATAGTCGAGGAGAAATGCCATGCTGCCAAATGCCTGCATATTAAGTTATTGAGCTGAAGAGTTTGCTAAACATGCAATTTTCAGGTGCACATTGAAGTCAGCTAAGGAGGTTCAATGACTTCATGCTTTAGGTTGAATGACAACAGAAAATTGATTAGACTCTGCATTCATATATGCATCTTGTAAAATCAAAGGTGTTTTTGATTATTATTCTGTGATGAACAATTGGTATTGGAGATTATTGGTTTTGATATTTGGAATTTATTTGTGAAGTGGTTTTGGAGATGATTGGATTTCACAGGTGGTCTACAGGATACTGCTAGTTTTGGGTCTGGTAAGACCGGGCATGGGTTGCCGGTCAGACCGGCGGTGATCGAGCGGTCAGACCGGCCAGCCCGCGGTCTGACCGACCGACACTGTGTCGGTTTCGGTTTCGGGTTGTTTGTTTGGATATCCGTGATTATTTCATGTTTATGGCTTCTTGATGGATACTATGCGTATGTAATACTGTTGTTTGCTAACAATGAGTCAAGTTGGGGATAGCTTGGTCTCGGGATATGGTTTCTTTGTTTGTTCCATGTGTAGGTGACTCGAGATGCCAGGAGAGTATTTGCGGTGATGGACCAGGAGTCGTCTTGGGGATAAGACGACGTCCGTGGTCGGGATACTAAGGCCAGAGTTCAATGCAAGTGGTTGGTGAAGATTCCATATGGCATACGATGGAGGTATTGTGTGCGTATGGGATGCGGAGTTGGTATGAGTGGTTATGTAAAGTTTGTTTCTTGTACGAAAAGGTTTCTTGTGGGGATTAGGACTTCTAGTATGAGTTTGGTTCATGACTTTAGGCTGCCTACCTCGGGTATAAATAGAGAGGGAGCGTGAGGCTTCCCATTATCGCTTTTGGAGAGCAATTGAGTTGATAAGTTTTGTTAGGGTTTCGAGTTTAGTTGAAACTTTTGTAAGGAGTGCTGTTGGTGCACTTTGTAAACACAAAGAGAATCAATACAATCGTCATCCACTTTAAGAGTTCTTCGATTTGTGTTTTCTCGGGTGCGGCGGTCCAACCGGCGGAACACCGGCGGCATCGGGGCGGTCAAACCGGTGGGCGCACGGCGGTCAGACCGGTGGCGGCGACAGACGGCAGCAGACAATCTCGGCGGTTAGACCAGAGTTTAATCTCGGTCAGACCGACGTTCTCCAGGCGGTCAGACCAGTGTAGCTACTTCGGTCAAACCGCAATCCATCGAGTTTGAGGGTAACTTTTTATTCCGCAAAAAGATTAGGTTTTTGGGTATACCAACCATTCACCCCTCCTCTGGTTGGCTTAGTTCTTGCTATTCAATCCTACACATCTTTGTTGCATAAAAGATGAGAGGAGCGAGCCTACCTACTTGCTACGGTCTGACCTAGTGAAATGAAAGGGTTACAAAGACGAGTTCTGTGGGTTGGTATGATAGGCTTGAGAGGCAATGGGAACAGTTCTGTTACAAACTCAGTTGATGGTTGTCAAGAATACTTTTTTGGATGTACTTTCGTCCTTTGCCCTTCTGGCAGATTTTCAAGAACACCTTTGATTGTAGTAGCAACTTTGGACTGCATTTTGCACCACCCACGAGAACTCAAAATGACAATAAAGAACTCATAGATAGAGTTTCCAATCAATGACCTCTTGTGGCCATTGATATGTTACCGAATACTTTAGGCTCTGTGATGTAGTATTTCTTTTCCTTTTGTACTCTAATCGGTACTACGAGGATTTGGATACATGACGGTGTAAAATTTTCAACAACCAAGTTCATACATATGTCATGACTTAATTATTTTTAAAGGTCCATTGGTGTTGTTGATGAACTTTCAGTAAATGCAGAAGATACTAAAATTCTAGTAAGTAGTTGATATTTTGCACGAAATATACTTACGGTGTTTTCTGAATGGATAACACATGTTGACATTTTGAGCCATCAGATCAAGCCATAGAAAACTGGACATGCTAAAAGATACTCCCTCCGTCCTAAATTATAGGGCGCCCCCTTTTTTTTTTAAGAAAATCAAACTCGGTAACTTTTGACTAATGATTATAGTAACCATATCTATGCTAAGTATTATGCATGTTATATCACTAGATTCATATTTTTGAAGTACTTTAATGTGATGCTAATTTCATATTCATTGGAAACATAACATGGAATTAATTAATGATCAAAGTATGTTATTATAGACCGTGTAAAAAAATATAGGCCTTATAATTTGGGATGGAGGGATCGAGTAATCTTTTAGCTACGTAGGGAGTAATTTGGAGGTTGGGCTCAGCATTGTATTGCTTCATGAGCAGGCTGCAAAGGCTTACACGTTGAACTAATGACGGTTAATGGTTTGCATGCAATATGGTAGGTGCAGCGAGTGTAGTACTGAACTGCAGATTTCCAGGGAAACAGATCATATTACACTCTTGTGTAATCATGGACTGTCCAGTGTGCTCTCAAGTGGTTAATTATGGAACCTTGTCTGAACCTTATAACTGAGTTGAAATCACATGCATCCGAGTAATTAAGCGTTACATAATTCCAGTCCCCGCTTGGATAATTGACCCATACAGGGGGTAGGTGCTGCATTAAACTTTATTCAGTGAGGTGAATAGCATCAAACGGAATGCTGTCAGATGAAGGAACAAGGATCTTCAAGCATGGAGATTGATGAGTCAGGCCATACTTGAGCCATTGGTATGCACGTTTGTTGCCTAGCTTGTTGGCCTAGGAGGCATCAGGAGCTATGGTTTGATCACTAGTTGGGTGGAATTAACGTACATGTCCGGTCCGACAGAGCGGCTACGGCTGCCAACCTTCATGAAAGGAGCTACCCGGAGCCAGAGAAGGATCCTCCTGGAGTCATCCACTCTCTTGTGGAAATCAACACGGTGGCGGAGTGACAAAACCAAGCTCAACTCTATGTCCCTATCATTGGAAGGGTTCAGTTTGGAAAATCCCATGAACCACTGTACTCTAGCTGGTTGCCGGTCATGGCAATTTTCACTGAAAATGCAAGCTTGGTATCAAAATTTTGTAAAGATTTGTTCAGAATCATCACATAGTGTTTGTGTCAACGTCGTGCTGGTTGATCATCTGTTTCCAAACGCTTAGGACATTCAATTGATGAGCTGAACAGCTGATTAAGCATGCACTCTACAGGTATATCCACAATGAAATGGTGAATTTATCGACGGTGGTTGATTTCTGCTTTCTGGTAGATAGGCGTGTGACTAACTGACTGAACTACACCCGGCTGGTCTTGAATTATTGCAGGAAATTAAATCAGATGATCATATATTACACTCTTGTCAGATGGTGAATAGTTCTTGTTGTCACTTGTCAGGAAGTTAATTTTGTCTCATCGTGCTATGGCCGTGTTTAGTTCCCCGTCCAATTTTTTTTTGACGTATACAGACACACATTTAAAGTATTAAACGTAGACTAATAACAAAATAAATTACATATTCCGCCTGTAAACTGCGAGACGAATCCATTAAGCCTAATTAATCCGTCATTAGCAAATGTTTACTGTAGGACCACATTGTCAAATCATGACGTAATTAGGCTCAAAAGATTCGTCTCGCAATTTACATGCAACTGTGTAATTAGTTTTTTTGTCTATATTTAATGTCCTATGCATGCGTCCAAACATTTGATGTGACGGAAAAGTTGGAAGTTTGAAGAAAAAAGTTTGAATCTAAACAAGGCCTATGAATTAAGATACCAAAGGACAACACTCAACATGTTCTTGTCTGAACCTTTTATCTCAGTTGCACATCATGAGTGTCTGAAGTAAGGCAGTCTTGATGCATTGAACATTTTAGTCAGAGTTGAATAATTACATCAATCAAAGTCTAGCTCTTTTATATATATATGAAGGAACATAAACTTGTTTGTTCAGGCTGAGAGCCAGAGATGAGCAACTCTGGATGGAGGCAGATCAGGCCGCTCCAACAAAACGCTCTTTGGCCTAGGAGGCATCAGGACTTGTCATTTGATGACCAGCGCGTATCATCGACCGTCACCAGAGAGAGATGTATGTGACAGACCTGTCATAGGAGGCAAGAGTGAGCATCACAGTGGGTCATTCTCATCGCTGCAAAAATGCCACACCGGCAAGGTGATTCGATTAGTACAGTGCTCCCTACTTCTTGAATTCATCATCCATTTAACTATTTGGCACAATTTTTTCGCTTCCTATTTATTGAAGAACATAGGTAAGGCTTTGATATTTTGTTATTGGTATGTCCAGACTACAAAGAAGCTTCAGAACTGCTACGCGCAGTCAGAACTCCATCAGATCCTTGTTCCCCCTGATGTAGCAAGACAGATTCATGAAGCGGAATCTTTACCGCCGACATCGCCGTACGTCCACCCTTCATTGGATGCTCCTCCTCTACGATGCCTTCCCTCCTTGATGCCACAGATGCTAATGGATCGATGGTTCAAACGGCAAAATCTGCACCGGAATGAAAGGTCAAAAGATGTAAACTTGCAACGGAATTTCTCCAAAGAATTGTTCGGAATCGGTGCCCAGTTTAGTTCCATTGTCTGATGCTTCATTAACTGTCTCCAAAGGGTTGGGCATTGCACTGATGATGATGAGCTGAATAGTTGGTTAAGAATTTAAGCATGCAGTTGTGCAGATTTAATTAGCTGTCTCCCCAGGCTTAGATTGATGAGCAGAAAAGTTGATTAAGCTTTCATTCTACAGGTGCTTGCGTATTATAATTGTTAATTTGACAACTGTGCAGTTACTTCTGCTTTCTGTTGTCAGTTGTCCAACTGAACTGCGACCTGCAGGGTCTTGAACTATTGCATGAAATCAGATCGTACAGTACACTCTCGTCTAATGATAAATTGTTCAGTGCTCTCACTTGTCTGCGGGTCCTAATTTTATCTACACTTCAAATTTTCAATAGCTTGGCTGAATTTGCAGTGGAGTGGATGGGTCTGAATTAAGATGCATAAGACATAAACCATCAATATTTCCTTGTCTGAACATTTTAACTTATGAACTCACATGCATATCTGAGTAATTAAGCACTACCCAAGATGGAAACTGACAAGGGATGACCTTTTCTCAACATTCTCGGTGTATGATCTGTTCTGTGCGGCTAGAGAAGATTGCCCCTATGGTGTGCTGCTATATATGGGGTGTGGCTAGAGCGATCACCCGCCCGCCCCTCTCCCCCTTACGCTCTCTCCCCTTCCTCCTCCCCCTCTTCTCTTCCTACTGCAGTACACCATAAAATTAAAAAAAACAAAGTTGGAAAAATTTATGTATAGAAATACTATATATAAAAAATATTTGAATTCAAATTCAAATTTGAAACGGGTATGTAAACTTTTGACTTATAAACTTTGGGTCTATAAATTTTAGGTGTATAAACTTTAGATGTATAGAAATACTATATATAAAAAATATTTGAATTCAAATTCAAATTTGAATCGGATATATAAACTTTTTACTTATAAACTTTGGGTCTCTAAACTTTAGATGTGTCAATTTGAGGTGTACAAACTTTAGGTGTATAAATTTACTAAAATAGAAAAGTAATGCGGTGCCAAAAAAGGAAACCACGTGGAGGGAGGGGAGGGGGGACCGGCTGATCACTCGATCGCTAGGGGCGATCGATCGTCCCTTAGCAATCTCGCTATATATGGCATGCTAAAGCCCCTTCATGTGGCTTGCACTTAAGGGACGGTGCTTAACAGCAGACAACCTCGCCAAGCGAGGATGGCCACACGACAACTTATGCTCCCTTTGCCAACGAGATGGCCAAGATTGCCACCACTTGTTCGTCATTGCCCCTACACGAACGCAGTTTGGCAACTGTTGAGAAGCTGGATGAATGTGACTTTTGCTGTACCGGGAGAGGCAGCGCTAGCTGCAGTTAGCCGATTGGTGGCTGAAGGCAATAATGTGTTGTCAGACGCGCTACAGGGACAACTTTGACATTTTTTTTCATGCTAATCTGCTGGCTGATTTGAAAAGAACGAAATGCAAGAGTTTTTGAGCAAAGATACAAGACGTCTGAGACACTTGCCGAAGACATAAAAGAGGAATTTCTCCTCTGCAAGGAAGCAGGGATTGTCTATGGTGGTACCGAGTAATCAGTTTTATATTTGTATAGAGCGGACCAGTGGCAGTTGTGAGGCCCTTTCATCGTTTACTTTGGGATGAGCCTTTGGCTCGATCCTTACTCGGCTCTCTTCTTGCCGATGTAAACCCCCCCCCCACCCCCCCCCCACACACACAGAGCTTTGTTTTCTCCCTACTCTTAATGAAGTTGGTCGGCCTCCTTCAGCCGACCCAGCAAAAACAGTAAGAGAACTTTTATGGTGTTTGCATTCAAAAAGGGTAAAGATCTAATGGTTCTTAATCACAGGTACCACGTTAAAGGTATTTAAGTATTAATATAGGTACTTAGGTACTAAGGGTAAAAATATAATTTTGCTAGTAGAGTGAAAATGGTAGAATTGTCCCCCAAATTTTAATAGGTACCGCAAAGGTACGACCGTGCGCATTAACATCTACATTGTATCAGCGTTATATGTGTGTTTTTATTTGTGCCATTTTCTCTTTTGCGTGGTTTTTTGTAGATTTATGTTGTTTTCGAGTTAAGTCGTTTACCGGCACTAAGATCAATCAAATATTGTCTCTTGTTCAAACGCTCGACTATGCCTGATCAATGGTTGGAAGTATTCAATTCACATAAAAAAACTCATGTTTTACTAGTTAATTACTCAACTGCTATCATGTTACAATAATTTTATTCCCTACCTTGCCCTTCTCTTGATCAACGGTGCAGATTATTCCACCTCCAAGTACCTCTAAATACCTCGCAAACACCGTAAAAGGTCTCAAAAAGTAATTATATAATAGGATGATTGGTCCATGCAAATGGTGGTAGGTACCTGCCACCATTTGCATGGACCAATCATCCCATTTGCTATATTGAATTGTAAGGATTGAGAGAGCTGAGTAATTGTATAAGTTGAAATGTTGTATATACTAAAGATTATATAAAGGAGCAAGAAATTATGTAGTCCAGGAGATAGAGATGAGCAAATATGCTTCATGGAGGCAGAATAGACCAGTCCAGCCATGAAGTGATGCATAGGCCAATTTGCTATATTGCCTAGTTGGCCTAGGAGGTATCAGGAGTTGTCATTTCACAAGCTTGACACAGCGTTGATCGCAGTTCTGTAGACATAGGTGTGTGCTCGAGCGGTCGCCGCCGACACAATCAGCCTTGTCAGGGGCTCTTAGTCAATATTGTTGCAACAATATTACATCGTTGATGAGTTGTCTGCTACTTCCTGAATTCCTCCCCTGTTAATTGTTTATTTGTTCCGCATAATTTTATGTACCTTTTGCTTCTGGTTATTGAACAGCATATGCAAGATTTTGAACTTATTTCTAATGGATATATCTAGTTTCCCTATGCTTCCGCCCCTTCTGAAACTATCATTACTATCAGCCTTGTCAGGGGCTCTGCTACGTTCTTGAAGCTTGTGAGAAAACATGATTATGCTCATAATCTGCGCGAACCAGAAGAATTTGTCTACGGGATCATCTTAGAATCTCCTACATTTGATCATGATCGATCTCTCCTCTCAAAACCCATTTCATGTACGATGAGCTCATTCAGGGGCGGAGCCACGTTGCTCCTTCCTTGTGCACATGAGTATGGGACACAGGAGGTCCAAAATTTACTACAAAACATGTTGCTCATTGCACATCAATTTTAAATGTTAATTAGAGTATTAACTGTGTGTAATAGATATGCATGGCAATTTCTATATATGTATAAAATAGCGTACCATGAATTATGAGTTCTTGGGCTTGGATACTCTAATTGATTCAGTAAGTGGTATTTTCCTTTGTGTTGATGAGTCATAGTTAGTAGATAAATGTTGCATTGTGAGCATTATTATGTTCTCCTTGATACATGTAAAGACATTAATTGTGATTTCCGTTTTGCTTTGGACACGTCACAGTTTTGGAGAAATTCATAAGAACAAAATTACTGCATATATATAGCCCTTCACTTGAATGAGAAGTCATAAGAAACTCTAAGTGAACACACAGCTAGTAGGATTGACCATGTTTCTTTTCTTTTGGCTTTACTGGGTACAAACAAGAAGAAAAATCTTGCCCTCCCTGCCATCTTTTTCGGGTTATTTTCATTGCATGGCAGATCAGGTTACTCCAGCCATTGCACTTTGGTGTGCAAACAGTTGTCACCTTGTTGGCATGGAAGACATCAGGAGCTGCCATTTCACATGATTGTTGCTGGAACGAATTCATTAAGCAACACAATCACCGCTGGCATGACAGGGCTTTGCGTGGATTATTCATTCTCCTTGACATTCTCAACCAAGTGGATTTCTTGGATCCACTCTTTCGTTTCGGGTGGAAGTGTATCAATAAAAATAAATGATGATGTCGGACCTTCTTTTCCAAACCAAAAGGGCCTTCGACAAGGTGATCCTCTTTCGCCGATGCTTTTTAATATTGTAGCTGGCATGTTGGTCATTCTAATCAATCGAGCCAAAGTAGATGGACAGATTTGTGGAGTAGTCCCTCATCTAGTAGATGATGGCATTTCTATTCTACAGTACGCTGATTATACCATTCTTTTTATGGATCATGACCTTGAGAAGGCTCGTAACATGAAGCTTCTGCTTTGTGCTTTTGAGCAGCTCTCAGATCTCAAGATTAACTTTCATAAGAGTGAATTATTTTGTTTTGGTGATGCTCGATCCATGGAAGACCAATATACCGAACTCTTTGGTTGTTCTTCTGGCGAATTCCCATTATGCTACTTAGGCATTCCTATCCATTATAGGAAACTAAGAAATGCAGATTGGAAAGGGGTAGAAGAACGCTTTGAGAAGAGACTCAGTAGTTGGAAAGGGAAACTACTTTCCACAGGAGGACGTTTAACATTGATAAACTCAGTGCTTAGTTGTCTTCCCCTGTATATGATGTCTTTCTTCGCAATACCGAGAGGTGTACTTAAGAAACTTGATTATTTTCGCTCGAGATTTTATTGGCAGTGTGATGATCAAAAGAAAAAGTATCGTTTGACGAAGTGGAGTATTATATGTCGACCCAAAGAACAAGGGGGTTTAGGAATTCATGATTTAGATATGAAAAACATTGCCCTTCCTAGCAAGTGGTTATTTAAGCTACTCACGACCGATGGCATCTGGCAACAATTGATTCGTAACAAGTACTTGGGCTCAAAACCTGTTTCACAAGTTGAGTTTAAAGCTGGGGACTCACAATTCTGGGACAGCCTTATGAAGGTCAAGCGTGACTTTTTACGATTTGGCAAATTCATGATGAGAGATGGTGCCCAAATCAGGTTTTGGGAAGACAAGTGGTTGGAAGAAGCACCATTGCGAGAACAATATCCTTGTCTATACAATATAGTTAGGAATAAATAGGATACTGTAGAAAAAGTGCTACAAAATTACCCTCCGAATGTATCTTGGCGAAGGGATCTCATTGGGCCAAAATTAGTGGTGTGGAATAACCTTCTTCCACGAATCGCTAACCTAGTTCTTATGCAGGATCAAGATAAGTTTCATTGAAATTTAACCCAAAATGGAGAGTTTTCAGTGAAGTCGCATTATCTTGCCTTGGTACATTCAGATTTGCCCAACATAAACAAAGTAATTTGGAAATTAAAAATGCCACTTAAAGTGAAGATCTTCCTATGGTATTTATGTCGTGGGGTAGTTTTGACAAGGGATAACCTGGCCAAGCACAATTGGCAAGGAAGTAAGAATTGTTGCTTTTGTCACAAAGATGAGACAATATTACATTTGTTTTATGATTGCAGATTTGCTCGTTTTGTGTGGTGCATTATACAAGTGGCTACAGGGCTTTTCCCGCCACGTGGT